CCAGTGAGCCCATTTTACATGTACATGCTCTTGAAGTTTTATATTATGTGCACTTGCCAATTTGCCAAGTCGTGAGAGGATGGATCTGTGCATTATTCACAATGAGCTTGGTGGTGCTTTTCATGGGCTTGCGTCCAAAAAATGTGAGGGGAAGAGAAATGTACTGTAATTGTTGACTCTTGGTTGGGTTTGTGAACAATTAGTTGGTTTTTTCAGATTGTGCTGTTTTCACCTTAATAACTCAAAGCTATATGGATTTGTGTATGATGCTAAGCTTGATCAGTGTCTTTAGGTCTTAGTTTGTTTCATTCAGATCATGCCATTTCCTCCTTTATCCACAATTATATATTATTTGTAATCCATCGGCTGTCAAACGAATGCGAGTCCTTACATTTGGAGCGGACACGAGCTTAACTACAAGCAACTCTTTTTATATGTAAATATAAGTACAACTACATGAAAGAAGTTAACAACGTGTGGTACATGTCCATATTTTAATTGCTTCTGACCTACTACTAGCTAGCTCGAGTAGGCCAGAGTAAATTGCATAAAACCACCACTTTGAGGGCTAGTTTTGCGAAAAACACTAGGATACAGTTTCTCTGCAGAAAGCACCACGTCTTGCGTAATTCTTTTGCGAAAACCACTGATCGGCGGATCGGGCTGCGTTAAGTGAGTTTATGACAGTTGGGGCCCATTTTTCGCCTACGTGGCATAACAGTTTAGGTTTCATGCAAAAAAGCCCCCCAAATTTCTCTCCTTGCCAAAAACTTTGTCGCAGGCCCATCCCGACCGCGACCACCGTCGCCCCTCCCGACCCCGGCCACCACCCATTCCAACCTCGGCGGCGCCCATCCCGACCCCGACCGCCGTCGCCCCTCCCGACCACGGCCACCACTCGTTCCAACCTTGGCAGCCCCCATCCCGACCCCAGACGAGGCAGAGGCCGCCGTCGCCGTTCCTGCACCGAGGCAGAGGACGCCTCCCGTGGCCCTCCCCTCTCCGCCTGCTGGCCGAGGAGCAGTTCGACCTCGACGCCGGCGAGGTTCATCTGCCGCCCCAAGCCTCCATCGGCGCGGCCCCAGAACAGGACGATGGATCGGGTCGTCGCTCTCCTCGATCCAGAACAGGACGAGGCAGAGGAGGCCACAGGCGGTGGCCAATGTAGAGGAGGCAGCAGGGGACGGGGCTCTACCAGCGGGATCCGGCCAGGAACGAGCAAGGGCGGCGGAGGACGGCCGGATCTGGTGGCGTCGGGGTCCTGGTGGTCATCGTCGTTGGCTCGCTGAAGCTCCGGTGGTGAGGCACTCGCGGCCGAGCGCGAGGAAGCAGGGAGGCGGGATGGAGGGCCGGCGTCGGGGTTGATGTGCCTGTGGAGGAGATGGCAGTGAGGCATGGTCGTCGTCGTTCGCCGGCGAGCGCGAGAAGGCGCAGGAGGGGGGAGGGCCGGCGTCGGGGTTGATGCACCTGGGGAGGGGATTGCGTTTATGTTTTTTATTTAGGGGTGTCTGTGTAAAATCTAAGGACTCGTTTGTAAATTTGGAATAACACTGATTTGGCACGAAATGTTATGCCACGTAGGCAAGAAATGGGCCCCAACTGCCATAAACTCACTTAACGCGGCCCGATCCGCCGATCAGTGGTTTTTGCAAAAGAATTACGCAAGATGTGGTGCTTTCTGCAGAGAAATTGTATCCTAGTGTTTTTCGCAAAACTAGCCCTCAAAGTGGTGGTTTTATGCAATTTACTCAGTAGGCCAAGAATGTCGTAATGTCTGGACATGGAGAAGCTGTTGAAATGGGAATCGGAGCCGGAGCCGATGGAGTAGGTGCCCATGTCACCGAACACGAGCCAGTCCCCACGCTCATCTCCGGCAGCCGGTACCCCGTTACCACTGTGTCGTGTGAGTCGCACGTTGGCCTAAACACAGTCGATGTGTACGTCTCCTCGTCAGCGCATGGGGTGGCGCGCGGCCTCAGGCGGGGCAGGTAGTCGTCCATGAGGACACAGTTGAGGGAGCCATAGACTCCATCGTCAATCCAGTACTCCTGCATCTCGTCGCCCATGCGCTTCCCGATGACGCGCGCCGTGAGTGCGAAGGCCGTCTCGACGAAGTACCATCCCAGCTCACCGATCACCTCCACACATGGGAGGCGTTGCGGATGGCTGTGACGGCCTCGTCAAACGCGCCATCGCTTGCCATAAAGTTGTTGCCGATGTCGAGCACGCGCGGGCCTCGATGGCCCCGCGGTACACGTCGGTGTGGGTCCCATAATAAAATAGTCAGCGTAACTGAAGCACCATAGAGTTCTGAAATACCAGCCTGAGGTTTATCACGACCTTAATAAACAGGCTATAATACCAACAGCAACACAAGGAGTCAACCTCCGGAGGGTAAAATAGCTAACAACAAGGTACCAACACAATTAGGTTTCTCAAGAAGTCGTATTCAAAGTTGTAATGACTAAGCAACTGGTTCAGCCACCCGCGGTTTCGGGGATTCAGGAGTTTAACAAGGTGATTTTGCATCAGGTACCCTACTCTTCTTGCTCTTCCGCCTTCTTGTGAAGCTCCAGTATCATATTGGCAGCCGCCGAGCACTTCGCCTCGTATGGGGTAGGACGAAGACCACCAGTGAGGCTCATATCAAAATCTAGGCATCTCAGACGTACACTGGCATGGTACATTCCTGAAAAGATAGGAAAAGGACCGTTGAAGAAGTGCTCAAAAGTCGAAACACACAGACACACACACACACACACATACATACATACAAAGATGATAGTCAATCAAACATCAATTCTGGTTATTGCTAAGTGGGGACCTAATCAGTCTGATCTAAGATAACCACTGATCGGCTGTTAAACAAACCTAACACTTGAACAGAGCATAACATATGAAAAATAAGCAAACGGCTTATTTGGATTGCTACTTTGACATCAAGAGAGCAAACCCTGCCTATTGATCTGACACCTTGAAAACTCTTTTCGTCTAAGCATGGTTAGCGTAGCACACTATGTATGTTATCATCTCAATTCACAAAACGAACCAGGACCTATAGGGATTGAATTCGATAACTGAGAATCAGGAAGTACGTGGCATAGGATACATTCATATGATATTCCTAATTGTTATGCCTACATGGTCCAAGGACCTAATACTTGCCTATCTAGAATATCTAGGAGATAAAAGTAAACATTTGTACATACCATCTGAAACTGAAGGTAATACTGTGTATCTTGGGAGTATCCAATGGGCCCCACGACATATCAGATCAAGCTCCTGCATAGACAAGTGTTAGGGTACCAGTGGCATTTAAAATTGTAATACATAGATTCAGCTTGAGGTTTCTTACCTTGCATTGTCGGAGGAGTGCCTCCCTCAATTTCTTCTTATTAGTGATCGATTGGCCACCATCTCCAAAGCAAGATGAATTGGTAACTTCTGTCATATTTGAGCAAGTTTCCTTGTATTTGCTTATTATTGATACAGCTTTAGGTGTCATCTTTCCTTCTGCATAAGTTTTAAAACATGATGAGTACAAGAAATGTGGAACTAATATAGAAGCAACTTCTTGCCAAAACACTAAAAAAATCCAAAAAAAACATCTTGCCAAAATTGGCCATAGTTCCGACGGACAATTTGTACATCACAAAGTGCGGTGGACGATTTGTCCACAATGAAAAGTGTGATACAACACAGTTTAGCGCAGAACTTTTGAAAACATATGGCTCAGAGGAAAACTTGCCGACAGTGTTGACCGCAAAATTGTAACAGTTCTACAGTGTGATTGTAAATGTAACCATGTTTAAAATGTGACATGGGTAGAATACCACTCAAGAGTGTCTGGATGTCCATATCACACTGAGCACTTCGTTCTTGAAGTATGCTTTCCTTGCGAAGCTGAAATGAAGAGAGAATAGGAGAGTTCACATCAGATTCTCAACTAGAAGAAATTATAGAAAGCAAGCATAATTTTTTCCTGAAATAAGAGAAAAGACATATAACATACAATTTCATCCCGTATTTTCTGAATTGATTTCAGCGAATCATCTATCTGGCCATCATCGTTTTACTTACTTGTGGCACCTTCAAAGAAAATTTTGGAACACATAGAGTAAGAACTTGGGAAGATCAGTTACCAATATATGAAAAATAAGCAGGCTTGGGTAGGTTTATCTGAACCTGACTCTTCAGACATTTCAATATTTTGCATTCCAAAGCACGGATCTCAAGTGAAGGATTACCACGCGTCGCCTGATAAAACAATGAGTTCTTCAAGTTAAAGCAGAGTGAATGGATCACATGAAAACCTTGGCCTAAACACCACCTACGCATCTGAAACTGATTTATGGAAAGGATGAATATTTCTTTTGATTGATTGAGCACATATGGTGTGGCTCCTCTCTTAATATGAACACCATCAGCCAATAAGATTTCAAAAAATAGCAAGGGGGAGGGGATCGTTGGGTCAGAGCAATTTCCGGCTATACAAGAATAGCCTGGACGATACAAGGAAGACGGTCTGGTGATTAAACGGCGAGCTTCTCCGGGTTGAGCAGTTGCAGGGGCGACCCCTCGCTCTTCCCGGCGATGGGTACGACCAAGATCGACATAGGAGGGGGGAGGGGGCAGCGACTATGGTGAGAAGCCAGAGTTGCAGGTGAAGAGAGGGAGCGGCGGCGAGGAAGGAGGAAGGAGTCGGAGAGGCGGCGTGGGCTGGAAAGAGCGAGCGCGGGGAGGGGGTTTCTACGGAAGAACCTGACCTGTGGCTTGACGGTGAGGAGGGGCGCACCGATATACCTTGATAGTGGCGGCGTGTGAGAGGAGGGGATGGTGGCCGGTGATGCAAGGCTCGGTGGCGGAGGTGCGCAACGAACCAGCCCTCGTCACCGTGTTCCCTTCCTCCAGACGGGCACGCGGCGGATCTGGTCGATTCCCCCACGATCGTCGCCTCGTAGGCTTGTTCTTCTCCTCCTGACGCTCACCAGATCTGCCGACGCTGAGATCGGCTGTTGGCGTGCGGAAAGAGACGAGGTTACGTGCGTGGGGAGAACACTGAGGGGCTGTCCAATCAGGAAGGACAAAACACGTGAATTCTCTCTCTCTCTCTCTCTCTCTCTCTCTCTCTCACACACACACACACACACACACACACACACACAAAGACACATGTTCACTGCACACACAATGTACCTCTCTCGCCATTCGCTGCACCGCATAATGCGCCTCTGCCAATGTGAACATAGTGAGAGGGTGCCCTTGCATTCGGCCATATTGTGTTTGATACTAGTATAGCTAGCTGACTCAAACATGCCTAATAAATTGACCGAACACAACTTTCTCCTTAGTTTGCAAAACTTGCCTTTTATATCTTGACATTTTTTTCCTAGTCCTAGTATTTATCAATTTGATTGGTCGTACGTCTCCTCTGGTGGGCCCTATCCAATCCAATCTCCTGCAGAGACATGCTTTTTCTTTCTTTTTTGCGAGGGAGAGTCATGCTTGTCCAGGTTGAAAACTTGTCCCACTTGCGTGTCCACTAATCTGGTGGTCGTTGCCGGCTAAAGTTGCAGCTTTAGCACCATAGCCTCCTTGATGATGTTCCTTTAAATTAAAATGCACGACCGTATTATCTCTGCAGTACTTGTTTGAGCATGCAACATCCTTATTGGATTGGTCAACCACCCATGCATATGATGTGCAATGCATCAACATGCATGCGTGTAACATTAACTAGTGTCATTTTGCCAATATATTTGACGCATAATTTTTCTGGGAAGTATACATCACTATATCTTGATCCTGACTCACTTGTACATCGTCATTGTGATCGATGTATCTTGATGACCCTGACCCACAAGGAGCCACAATATCTTGATCCTCACTCACGTCTTGTACATGTTGAGCATATGAGCGGATTTTTTATTAAATTAATCCACGTATAAATCATGAGCATAGTACTGATTTCTAACCAGATAATCATGTAATAGGCAGATAGTAGAAATATTTACGCAAATAGCTAGTACTGCACCCACACGAAAATAAACAGGATCGGGATAAACGTGTTACTCCAGTGGGCCTGCCAGAAGCCGCGGCGGCAGCGGTCTCCTCGGCGACCTTCTTGGCAGCAGCGGGCTTCTCGTCAGCGAATCAATCGACTTCGTTGGTGGTGGACATGGTGATGACAAAGGTGGGTGGACATGGTGATGACGAAGGTGACGCGGACGTAGACGAAGTAGAGGAACGGTGGCGAGCACTCCCGCCTCCCCTCCCTCCGTCGCCGCCGGGCTACACCCGGGGGCCGACGGCGATGGCAGGGGACTCCCCTTTCATGTCTCAGGAGTGGTGCGGGGCCCCTACACATGTGGAGGTGCGTCCGAACCTGCAGAGTGTGGCGATAGGTGAGGCAGCGACGGTGGTGGCCGGCCCTGCCTCGAGCGACGGCGGCTCCAGGCACATCGGGCAGCCTGGTCACAGGCGGTGGCATGCGGCGGCTGTACTAGTTCGGGTGGTGGCGTGAGGCGGTCGGCAGCGGCGCGCCATCTGGCTTCTGGTCGACGACGGCATGGAGGGCCTAGTGGAGTGCAAGGCGGCACCTTTGATTAGATCTGTTCTAGTCGGCGCAGCCGAAGGTGGGGGTCATCTTCTCCGCTGGAGGTGGTCGACAACGGCGGCTGGCTATGCTGCGACGGCGCGCCATCTGGCTATGGATCGATGGAGGCGTGGGGGCCTGGTAGACTGCTCGGCGGTACCTCCGGTCAGATCTGTTCTGGCCGATGCAACCAGAAGTGGTGGCCATCTCCTCCGGCGGAGGTGGTCGGCTTGAGGCTGGGTGGTCGGATCTTGAGATCCGTCATCTAGTCTCCGCTACGAGACATGGAGACATTGTTGCCGGTGAAAACTGAGCCGAAGGCAGACGATGGCGGTACCTTGATGAAGACATTGTTGCGTAAATACTATTGACCCACTCGTGCTGCTCTGGGAGAAACCCTAGGATCTGGTTTTCCATATCGGACAATGGTGGCACTACGGTGTCGTTTCTCTCTTGGGATCATCATTTATGGAGCAGCGCTGGAAGACAGAGGCGGGAGGTGGAGCGTCTTCATCTTGAACAGAGCTTCGATGGAGATGTCAAGTCATGCCTAGCCGACAGGTGCTACACTATGTCATACCTGTTCGGCAGGTGCTACGCATGACAGATCTTCCAGAGTCTCCACGTCGGGATGGACGATCGCAGGGCGGCCGCGTAGTTGGGTGCCGTGGCGGCGTTGACGGATGGCCGGACTGACAAGGATGATGCGGATCTCTTTCCTGAAGATGGGACAACAGTTCAATGATGATGGATGCTTCTAAAATGTGTGCATGTGGTGTACGCTTTAGGTCTACTGCACTGGTTGTTGGTTTCGATATGTTATATGGATGGATTGGCGACGACATTGGTTTTAGTCTTTTAGATATAGGGAGTGAGAGCACTCCATATTATCAAGTTTGTAAGTGTGAGTAGGGTGGCTTCGGGTGGCTTGATGTATGCTCTTGTTAGACCTTCGTGAAAAAATTAATAAAGATGGTTGTATGCATCAATTGATGCAGAGGCTGGAGGTTTAACTTCCTTTCCTAAAAAGGGGAAAAGCAGCTTAATATTATTGAAAGGCCAAAGCCATCATATATACAAGTATAAGGGAAAGT